CACACACACACACACACACACACACACACACACACACACACACACACACACACACACACACACACACACACACACACACGCGCGCGCGCGCACACACACACAGGAATTAACTTCATTTTGTAAGGGCTGGCTGAGGTGCCTTAAGTGCTGTTTTTAGGGACTCTGGAGAAGCCCCTAGGCTCTAGCAATTGCATCATACGCCCGTATAGATCAAGCTGTTGTGACCATATGGCTTCACCTGGATGTATTAAGGATGCTCTGTAATGGTGCTCCTCTTTGTAGAATGTACAACCTCTGAAGTTTCTGATGTTCCGATCAGGAAGATGAGTGACTAGAGCTTTAGAATCCTATTGGAGGTGTCCCATCATATCCTGTTCCCTGGGACCTTTAGAATCCTATTGGAGGTGTCCCATCATATCCTGTTCCCTGGGACCTGGCTGACTTAGAGGGACAGGGCTGAAACCTTGGCTGTCCTCTTCACCCCGTATCCTGTTGGATTTGCCGTAAGCATGACTGTTCATGCTTAAGAAAGGTCAGTGAAAGAACAGTGGCAAGATTGAATTGTATGCACATTTAGATAAACCCAACAGACTAAAGTCCTGATTTTGTTGTAACTCGGTCTTTCTAAGACACCCAAAGCCTGACAACTCAGTAGAAACCAAAGGAACTATCCTGATAAAATATAAAGTTCTGTTCTGTTAAAATGGATTTTAACAGAAATGTTCTATCTGTCACCTTTGGCTGTGTCTCAGCTTCTGGCTCCTCTTTGTCCACTTTACAAACTTCATGATGTAGTTTGCAGGTTTGTAAAGGCAGAAAAGCCGGGACACAGGACGTTCTGGTCACTTCTGTCTTTTGCAATATAGCTGTAGCTGGAGGGTGATATTAAAGTTAAACTGCCAGTTACTGGTCATGTCACCAGCATTTGAAATGGATTTAAAAATGATTTGTGTGTGTGTGTGTGTGTGTGTGTGCATGTGTGTGCATGTGTGTACATGTGTGTGCATGTGTGAGCACCTGCATATAAAAGCCAGAGGTTGCTCTTAGATGCCTTCCTCTGTTGCTCTTGATCTCTTTTCTGAGCTAGGTTCTCTCATTGTGCTTGGAACTTGCCAGTTTGCTGGATTTGCTGTCCAACAACTCTGTGGGATCCTCCTGTTTCTGGAGGCCTCCGGGGTGCTGGGATTATTGCACATGCTGCTGCATCATGCTTTTCACAATGGGTACTGGGGGCCAAACTTAGGTCCTTGTGTTTGCTCAGAAAGTACCTTACTCATTTAACTATGTCCCTACTCCCCCCCCCATCTAACTCTGCCTAGTGACATTGCCTATATAGGTCGAGTTAACCTCTGTGTTACCATTTTAACTTCCTCGGGCTCTCACTATGTAGGCCAGGTTAGCCTCCAAATCATGATCCTCCTGCCTCAAAGCTGGCTCTGAATAAATAGAGACTACTTTTCTGTGTCAGCTCTCCATCTTTGAGGGATCCAGGGCACGAGGGGCCTTTCCAGGTCACCAGTGCTTACAGTGAGAAGGTGACTGTGAAGTCCCAGCCTGAGCAGCGACTGAATCTTCACAGTGCTGCCTTCTTTTCTTGTTGAGTCAACCACCTGGGACCAGTGTCTCCACTTCCTTATTTAAAAATTAGTTCAGGGAGTTGGAGAGATGGCCCAGAGTTAAGAGCACTGGCAGCTCTTCCAAAGGTCCTGAGTTCAATTCCCAGCAACCACATGGTGGCTCACAACCATCTGTAATGAGATCTGGTGCCCTCTTCTGGCCTGCAAGGACACATGCATGCAGAACACTGTATACATAATAAATAAATAAATCTTTAAAAAAAAAATTAGTCCGTAAGGTGAGGAGCCATTGCAGAGACTGTCCCATGACAACGATAACACTTAGGTAAAGAACAGGGGGAAAGCAAACGACTCATTTGCTTCCCAGTTTTCCCCCTAACACCCCTAGTTCTTTCCTTCATGTTCCAGAAAACAGCCAACAAGTGTTTTCTGTTCCGGACGTCTTTCTGACCTTCATTTCACATTTACGGTATGGACATGGTTTCCACCTATGCAGCTATGTCCCACTGTCAATCCTTCAGTTCTGTGTGGTGTGGATCCCTGGCTTGTGCTGAGTGGGCACAGATCCTAGGGAGTTGGGAATGGAAGGTCTTAACACGCCAGGATATGTGCAGGAACAGTCAGGGTTAGCACAGCAGCATTTCACTCCTGCAGCTAGTTAACTGAAACCCGAGGGACTGCTTTTCTTCACTAAAAATGATTGTGGAAAGACAGAAAGCAAAACACAGGAAGAGGCACAGAGGAGTTCAAAATGGACATTGCTGTGCTTGTTCTTTGCATGTGTGTGCATGTTCATGTGTGTGTGCACAAGTGGAGACCAGAAGATGACTTTGGGTGTTGCCCTTGGAAATGCTCTCTCCCTTCTTTGCAGTACGGTCTCTCACTGGCCTGAGCTCACCTGTTAGGGTGGACTGGCTGGCCTGCAAGCCTCTCCCTGTTCCCCGCCCCCCCCCCCCCAAGTGTCCCTGTCTCTTAATCCTACCTCCCTAGAGTTGGGATCCCAAGTACTCATCAATAGGCCCAGAATTCTCAGGTGGCTTCTAGGGATGGAATACAGGTCCTCACACTTACAAGACAAGTGTTTACTGACTAGGCCATCCCACCAAGACCACTCCTAACATTTCTTACAAGCCTAGTCTAGTGGTAATGAATGCCTTTGGCTTTTGTTTTTCTGGAATGTCTCACTTCTGGATGACAGTTTGGTTAGATACAGATTTTGGTTTACTTTTTAAAGCATTTTAATTCTGTCATTCTGTAATTCTACCTTCTAGATTATAAGACTTTCGTTAAGTAATATGTGGGACACTTGTATGTTATTTTTTATCATCTGTATTGAATATGCATAGATCTTTTGGTGTGTGCACGTGTGTGTGTGTGTGTGTGTGTGTGTGTGTGTGTGTGTGTGTGCTCGAGTGTGTGCAAGGCAGCTCCCAGCATGGGCTAACATCATTACACACACCCTCTCCATCACTCATTGCCGCTCATTTTCTTCTTTATTTTCTTATTTGATATTTTCATTTGGATGTATAATGCGTTTAGCCACGTCCAGTCGCCTCATTCTCCCTCCCTCCTTCCGCTCTCCCTGAATCCCTTTTCCTCAGCAGGTCCCCTCCTACTTTCCGTGACTTTTTATTGTAATTTTGCTTTCTTTTTGTGGCTCACTAAGTTTAATTAGGGTTGCGTGCATGAACATGGATGGGTTTATTTCCTGGAATGTTGGCAGGTTACCAGTGGCTTCATCACTGAAGAAAATTACTTCCACTCCCCTAGCCACCATTAATTGCTAGTATCTGGAGGGTGGTGGAGCCTCATAAGCCCATCTCCCATCCATGAAGGAATGTTAATGAGCCCATCTTGTTCAAGCCTGTACAGGTAACACAGCTGCTGTAATCATGAATCTTGTTTTCTTGATGATAGAAAGTCTGACTGGAATGAAATGGAATCTTAAAGCATATTTAATCCACATTTCCTTGATTGCTAAGATGATGATGTTGTTTTAATAAGATTTCAGCCGTAGGTATTTGTTTATTATTGTTTTTATTTATTCTTTGAGAATTTCATATATTTTGATCATATTCTTTCTCCTCCTTCAACTCTTCCTAGATCCTCCTCCACTTCCCTACCCATCCAACTTTGTGTTCTTTCTCTTAAAAAATAAAAACAAAACCCACAAAAAAATGTGGAGTCCATTTTGTGTTGGTCAACTACTCCTGATGAACTACTTCAGGGGTCTTTCCTGGAGTGTGGTTAATATACCCAGTGTCACTCCGTTGGAAAAGAAAACGGATTTTCCCTGCTCCCAGCAGCTACCAATTGAGAATAGCTGTTTGGTTAGGGGTGGAACTTTGTGTCCCTGCTTCCCCGCCTCTGTGCCAGCTTGAGCCTGTGTAGATGTTTGCATTCTATATCTGGGAATACATATGTGCGCCTGCTCTGTTGTGTGTGGGAAACAGTTTCCCTGAAATCATCCACTGCCTCTGACTCTTACAGTCTTTCCACCCCCCTCTTTCACATAGATCCTGAGGCCTGAGGGGAAGGGAGTGATAGAGACATCCCATTAGGGACAGAGTGTTCCATGAGCTAGCTCTCCCTTTGCACATCGTCTAGTCACAGGTCTCTGTGTTAATGGCCATCTGCTGCAAGAAGAAGCCTCTTAGGTGGGTATAGTACTATGTCATTAGGAACTATGACCTATCTAGTCTCAGGTTCTTGGCCTCATTAACAGTGTCAAGGGCCATCTCATGGAGCAGGCTTTAGTCTAATAGAAAAGTGGTTGGTTACTCCCCCAACATCCACGCCACTGTTAAATCAAGGAGCATATTTTGCAGATAAGTCATTGTTGTAACCTGCAGGGTTTTTGGATACAACTTTCTTTTTGAATTTAACTGCTTGTTCAGTTAATTTACTTATATATTGATTGGATGATTTGATTATTTTTAGTATTTAGTCTTGAAATTTCTTATAAATTCTAGATCAAAATTTTAAAGGGGAAATTAAAGATGGATAGAAAGACGGGGAGGCTGGGAAGGTGTGGATCAGTTGGCAAAGGGCTTTCCTTGAAATCATGACGACATGAGT